CCAGCTAACTAAATACCATATGGCCAAATTACAGTAATAAAAACAAAACCATAATTGGCAAAGCCGCACAGTGACGTAAATTCTATTGATTAGCTGTACATACATACATACATACATATGAGTCAATAATAAATACTAGTAATTTGATATACATACATACATATGTACTTATGTACATATGTAGAATAAACAAATGTTAATGTAAATATGGAAAACCATGAACTTAAAAATGCACATTGCGTTTTTATTGCTTATAAATACTTTAGTATGTATGTATGTTAATATGTATATGTATTTACACATAACTTACACCATTGAAGTGCTCTGTTTCCAAAGAAGTGGCGAAGATTTTTGCGATTGACCAAATAAATGTAATAACAGCAGGGCAGCCTGTAAAAATTGAAGCGCATAAATATGCTTAGTACAGTGAGAAAATATAATTTGGATATAAAAGCATATCGAGCCCTAACCGCCAAAATAACGTAAGCGCAATTTTTTTCAAAATTTTCTTTTCAATGCACAAATACATCTAGATGCCCGAGGAATATTTCTGCATCAAAAATAAAATTTTGAAAAAAATGTCGCCTACGTTATTTTGGCGGTTAGGGCTCGATATGATTTGTCATGAAAGCAAATGCAATCCAAATACATACATATGTTTAAAATAATATTTGATAAGAGAAAGCTACACACGAACAAATGCACGGAAATGTGCGAAAAATGTAATTAAATAAATGAACAAAACCTAAATAAAGTGGAAAAAATTACTTTAAAAATAATAGGTAAAATATGCCAAAAACGAAAAAATAAAACGAAAGGTTGTAGTAAAATTATTAAAATAAATATAAAAAAAACAAAAAATTTAGAACAATGAAAATAAATGTAGATGCATCTTTATAAAAACACAATTAAACACTAAAATTGTATAGAACATGGCAATACTTACCCCAGCCGATGGCTGTATATATGCCAAATCTTATATTATCTCTGGAAAATGTTTGTACCACCAGCGTATAGAGATAAAGACCTGCAGGAAAATTCACTACAAATAAAGAACCAGTGACAATAGAATTTACATTTAACAATTACCTTCGACAAACATCCAGAAGAAGTTTGTTAGATTGAAATAATGGAACATCATAACCAAAATAATGCACCCGGCTTCACTGGGATGCTCGGTCATCTGCAGTATTGAAATTGAAAAAGTCATAATTTAATTTAGTTAGTCAAATCACCCGCGGTCAAGCAGCGGAGCAGCACAGCACAGAAGCATAAACAATAGCTGTAATGACCAAGTAACTTTGTTCTGTTTTTTTTCGTTTTTTTTTTTAGATTGTTTTGTATTTTTATTTGCAAAAGTCTTGCCTTACCACATGCAGGCACATCGTCAATATCCATAATAGCCCGGCGAGTATGTATGTAAGGAATAAATTCGCGTGTATGGTGTTGCGCAGGCATTTCAAGTCTCTGTGAAAATTATAAAAATAAATTTAAAAAAATATACAAAATAGATCAACATTAATGTCTATATCTTATATGACTATATATTTATTTAAGCTTATTGCTTCAATAAAATTAAATTTATAAACAAAAATGCATACACACACATTTCCGCTTTATGTTTATTTTATACTAGAATATACAAATTTAAAATAAAAGTGTTTACTTTACTTACTTAAAGAAATAGAAAACGATAAGCGCCAAAATGAGCGATGCTAAACTTAGAAAATATCCAACGAAATATATGTAGGAGGATAATTCAACTGTGGGCGAAATATCTGCAAAAAATGTCGATGGTTGGCATTTCATGTAGTCGCTGTAATTGTCCCAAACACCATTCGCCGAGCAGTGACGCGTTACATTCTCTATGGGATAGAAAGTAATGGAAAGGAAAGTTAAGGCATAACCGATGTGTATATGAGTATGTAGTATATTTAGTTAAAAATATGCTTTTAGATTATGTATTCAGCTACAGAACGCTTTCTATTTTATTGATCCAAATTAACTTCCGTAGATACAAAACGATAAGTGCTCATCAAAGCGGGCCGACAAAAACAGCCACTTCTCCGAGGTACAATCGAGTTCACCTGTGACAGAAAAAGCCCAGTATCCCACGCTACGCCTTATACATACAATTCCAAGGGTAGTTAGGTTAGCTGGTAGTAGCTGTCTTCATCCAGATATTGACGAAAACACACCTAGGCCAAAAATGTTTGTTGTGGTACCGTTTTAGCTCGATGCCGATCGTGCTCCTAAATATAAGTAAACCCATTTATTTTTTTTATAAAGATCGCAGATTTTAGACGAGCTTAAGTCTACAAGACTGTCAATAAAGTGTGTATGAAGACAGCGTTGCCTGTGTGTCGGACAGTGGTTCTATGTATTTCCGTTTTAGATTTTTTCTTCATCTCAACAGATCGGACAAAAGTATACGAGTCAAAAGGCTCCTAACTTTGCATCCAAGCCGAGGTGCATGCCATTGAAATGTGACTGAGACAGTATGCAGAAAGTGAAGCGTTCACCAAATATACCCTCTGACAGCAGGTACGTACAAGTATACACAGAAAGCTGAGCAGCGCCGAGCTAAGCAAGGGGTTCACACAGAACGAGGCGGAGCTCTTCGCGTGGAATCGGCTGCAAAGATTTTCCAAAACTTACCATAAATGAGAAAAGTGAGAAAATACAGCTTTGCTTTCAGCTTCAAAACGCTTCGGAAAAAGCACACTGGTGGTTCCAAACTTGAGGATGAAAGCACTGGCATGTATGGACCTAGGTTCGCCTGAAAATGGTGTCAAAGATATGGTACAGTTGCAAAAATGTACTGGTAAAACTAGGAGCCAACAACAGGGTAATCTGGTGGTGGGTTCCGGGCCATGAGGGCTTCGATGCCATCGAAAGGGCTGACACTCTAGCGAAATGCGGTGTCGTACGGAGCCTGGTCGGCCCTCAACCTTTCTTTGGTCCATCCAGGCCGAACGTCTAAGGGGATTGGAAGACTTGCAAGCTACAAGCCAATGGCGTAAGAGAAATACCAAAAGATAGCCCAAATGATTCATAACTCCCTCTTCTTGAATCTCCGAGCGGCTGGCAAATATTAACAAAAGAACTATCACTGGATACCGGACAGGAATCTGCAGACTTAGGTACCATCTAAAAAAATTGGAGTCTCTGAGGAGATGAACTGCAGGTTTTGCGGGCTAGAGGAGGCATATAATATGTGATTGCCCGCCTATAACTCCACTTATACACCTTGGAAATCGACCATTACCTCCTGAAGTGCTTACTTTCATTAATAGCCTAAGGTTTAGCAACGCCAAATGCCCTAATAATAATAATATTATCAACCAGGAGCACTAAAGCACTCCTTCATCTTACAAGCTGCGACGAACGAATTGTTACATCCTTTCTTGCTGACCACTGGAGCATAATTAAAGATTTGCCCAAACAAGAAACCCAGACTACCCTTCAAACGTAGATCAACGAAGACCTGCTACTAAATAGAGATTTGTTGCAATGGATCGTCCTTGGTAACGGTAAATTCATAGGTGACTTGCTACCTCCTCTAAATCATAAACTACTCTTATTCGAAGGCAAAAAAATGTAAGCTGATCTAAATTTTAACTATGCATAAGTAATTCCAAAATCGACTAACTGATAAGTCAATGATTTTTTTTTGCCTTTGACAGTGATTTGCTTCAAATGATTAATTATTTACTTGCATCAATATTTGATGTACTAATAGTAAGCGCGTCAAGCTTATGTTTCATTCAGTAAAATATAATCCCTGATATTATTTAACTGACACATGTGACTAACCAATTATATACATACATATATTTTGTTATCACTTTCAAGGGCTTATCAAAAGTGAATTCATTAGGAAGTGTAAACACGTAGTTATACTGCACATAGAATTCCTAGCCACCAAACGACTTCCCACTCACTTTTGATTAGCAAATTTGTGCCTTGCCTTACCTGTTGTATTGTAAAGTACGCCTTTGAATTCTGCAAAACATGGCTGTTTGGCTGTTGTACCCGCCGCTGTAGCTGGCCAACAGAGTACTGTGTCAAAGAATGGCGGGCAGGTTAAATTGGCAACGATGCGATCGGTCGGATGTCGCAACTAAAAAGAAAAAGATGAAAAAATATTTATTTAATAGAAAACGTTTAATTAAAAAAGTGGACACTTAAAATTATTATTATAGTTAAGGACAAATTTTACCACCATGCACTTTAGTTTAATTGCAAGAAATTGAAATTTTAGAATTCATCGTCCTTGTATTAAAAATTAATGCACTCACTCAGCTTGAGGCGCCATCGATCGGCAATATGCTAGCAAACATAATTCTCATTTCTATTAAGGAAAATAACATTTTGCATTTCTATGCCGACAGCAGATATACTTAAATGAATACCTAAATACCTAAACATACATATATACACACATACATATGCACATGCATGTTACCTCGCAGCAATATTGCGCTAAACAACTATGGCACAACTGTTGAATGTTGACTAATTAATTTGTGACCCACGGCGTATACTTTATTGCGTTAGCTTGTGGCTGCAAATTGCTGGCTTGCAAAGCTGACAGCTACGGATGTATGTACATATGTGAAAATGCTTGCGCAAGCATTTAATCCTGCGGACCATGCATGAATATTCCCATATACTTTATCAGCACTTAAATAGCTACATATCAGCGTTATACGCGAATAAGGAAAAATTGGGTAAACATGTAAAATGTGTTAAATTTTGATTAAAGTTATTTATTATTTTAATTTGTGAGTTTCTGTTTCTTTTTCAATTTCATTCATTAAATTTCAATTTCACTAACGTGTCCTAGCCAATTGATCTTGACTTAAAATTTACGACTTCAAAACAAAAAGATAAAAAAGGTACAGGTTGCAGCTCGCTGATACTGCAAATTAAAAGCTCCTCGAGGGTGCTTCAATCCTTCAAACGAATATCATATTCTCAATAATTTTCGTCAATGGTGAGATTAAGGTGGTTGACACTCTGTACAGCCATCAAGAAAGTCACTCCGGTCACCTACTTAGGTCTAATGTGATGCCATTTGATCGAGTTCTTATTCCGTTCCTTGAGTTTTTCGAGTGATACAATTACGAAGCCTTGAAGATTGCGAATGTCTGCAGAGTTCAGATCAGCCATTGGAAGATGTAACTATTTATTGAAAACAATAAAAAATAGAGGAAAATCAATGCAGCATAAACAATTCCCGACACCAACCATCTCTTCACCTTCCACCTTAAACTAACTCAGCTAGGAGCCCTCTCCCTTTGGTGGTACCACGTGGAAACAGAGCGTTTTTTGGATCTACCGTTAGTTGATCGTGACGACAACATTTCTAAATCTAAATTAGCTAAAAAGTTTCTAGGGATACACCTTCCTATCCAGTTTGCTTCTATATATGGACTCTTATACATGTGTGCACATCCAGTGTACTCTCTATGGGTGGTTTTATCTTTCCAGGAATGATCAATAAGTTTCCGCTTGCGTTCCAATTACACCGAAGTATTCAACCTTTGTAGACCTTTGTGTAAGTCGGACTTCATTGAGAGAGGGTGGCTGAAAAGGCGGTATCTTGAAGAGTACCATTTCAGTATAGGCGTGATTAATGTAAAGTTTGATCTCTACTCTAAGGGCTATTTCGCATTGAATATTCAGTTTAGTAGAGTTGACAAATTGGCACTACTATAGGCTATGTTATGGAAGATGCTGTAACCTATTAGCGTCAAGCAGTCTTTCTAGAATATTACGAATGAAGAAGGTAAGACTTATTGATGTAAAGCTTGAAATGTTCTGTAGATGATAGTGAGCAATGGACATAGTGGTTCGACCGTTTTTTGAATTTCAGTGGGGAATATACCAGATTACCTTGAAGAAATGTAGGGTTTAAATGTTTTGAAACTTTTTTTACGAATTGCACAATATTCATTGCGGAGTTTAGGGAAAAGTAGTTCTTTTGCTTTAGGTTCCTCAGTGAGTACGTCTGGTATTTTGCTGCAAGATGAAGTCCATTCGCCGTCTGGATTTTGGATATAGTTTTGGGCAACTGTAGTTTTTGAAAAAACCTTTCGTAATCGGTTGCCTTCAGAGTTCTCCTTAATGTATACAGGATTTATTTTGAGCTATTTTCGCGTTTCAGTATTCCAAGCTGAAACTCAATTTTATATTATGCTTCGTCAATTCTTTGTAGTCGAAGGTCCCAAGGACACTGGACCTAACGTACTTTCGAAGTACCAAAATTTATGGAATAAGTAGTGTTATACATATGTGTTTATGAATGTTTGCGTAATGCGTATCTTCATGCTCTTAAACGATGGTAGGATTTCGAATGGAAATAGAAATGGGAAACTCCAGAAGTTTTTAACTGTATTTTAAGACAAAAGGGATCATAAATGTATGTAAGTATGCCCAGAGTGGGTTAAGCATTTCTGCGATTTAGGGCATTTTGTTCGACTGCTTCTAAATGATATTCCGATTTACATTTAAAGATTATCGTATGTATATTAAAAGAAACTGAACTATTTTGAGACCTTAAAAGGGGTGCCAAAGAGTTTACTTTATAGGCGTTGGAGATAATATTTATTGATGAAATTTGCAGACTTTTTTCTACAGAAAAAAATAGTTTTTTTTTTGATGATCTATGGCCTTATAACAATTATATTCAACAATTTTATTAGTTATAGCTATTTCGGATATCACCACATCTCTTCATCAGACTTCTTCAACTGCGATTCGATCCAACGATCCCAGCCGCCATGTAAACTGTTGTTGCTTTTTACACTTTTTCATTTGTTACGCCAACTACAAACAAGCGCAGCTATTCCAGTGCTATTTAAACTTGATCATGTGGTTGTTGTTTTTCTAAATTGTGTTTTTTTCACAAAATTTTCATTAAAAACGGCCTCAAGCTCAAGAAAAAAAATTTCAAAAACTTGGCTTCAGTTTTTAATTACGACCAATTTGTCCTTCTGCGGGGAACAAAAAAAAAAACAATTTTTGAAGCATTCATAACATAAAATGTTGTTGCTAAGAAATCAGAAAAATTTGTATCACGCCAATGCAGCTTAAAGCAAAAACAAGTCCGAGTCCTGGGTTACTAAACAAATGTAAAGTGTTTGCAAACTTTATTAATTTGGTGAGCAGCAAAAGCGACAAAGAAGCAATGACTTTACGACATTTTTTCTTTGCCAGAAAGTTCATGAAATCATAACTCTCCATACAATTCCGCACCGTCCAGAAATAAATTATGAAATTCCTCCGAAAAAACCACAGACAAAATTCAAACAGCAACTTGACAAAAGTGGCTCATTCATTTTGGTAGGTGTGCACGCAAGCATACACAGATATAGACATACATATACATACACTATATGTACACGCATTTGTGCTCATCATTCTACCAGGATGATTCTATTTATACGGCTCGCCCATTTTGCGACTCAATGCACCCACACACAGCAAAAGCAAAGCAATAAAATAGCGCCATAAATGACTGGCAAAGAGTATGTATTACGCACGAGTGCGTTTGTACTCGTAGATATACATACATAAAGAAAAAGTGGAATTTTACTTACCGCATAGTAGTTGGTGTCGCCAGTGAGCAGGTGGCGTTGCGCTTCTTCTTCCTGTTTTTTCTGCAGATTATACGTCTCCAAGAGTCGCATACAATGCTCCTTCACCGTACGATTTATGTAAATATCATTCGCAGCGCTCGGCGGCGGCGCCAAAATATCGCTTACCATAGCTAGCGTTTCAGTTGAGAAATTGGCTATAATATCTGTAAAATCGAGTGCAGTCGAAGAATCATCCAAGCTTTCAACAACAACTGCACGCACATCCGATATGGACATTTTATTGACTGCACGCGGCGTTGCAGTATTTTGTGGCTATTACTGTTGCTGCTGTTGTTGTTGTTGTTGGCGGTAAATGGTATTTGACTTGAGGCATCCGGTGGTTGGGTGGCGAATTCGTGTGGCCACAATCGTTGTTCTTCTTATAGCTTTGGCTAACTTAATGGCTTTGTACGTGCTGGCTTTGTACGTGCACTTTAGCCGATAGCAATTAGTTTGTTCTTATTAACAGGTTTATTGTTGTTGCGTTTACTGCAATTCGAGTTGTAGTATTTCTGTTGCCACAAGCGCCGGCAGCGCTGTTTATTGCAGCTGCTTGTTGGGCGTGGCTGTCATTTGACCTACGAATTGTACGATTATAGTCCACATTGTTTTCGTGTGTGTGGTTGTGTGTGTGTTGTTTTTTTTGTTTTATACAACTCTATTATGCTTTTCCTCTTTTCCTATTTTCTCACTATTTAGAAGGTGTGCTATGGTAATTACTAATTAGCCTTTATCTAATGTAATTGTTCGTGGCGCTGTTACCCTCTATAACACTCGCGAAATTCGAATGAAAATGAAATTAACGAAATGAATTTTCACTTTCTGTGGACGATGCGTTGGTTGGTTCTTATCTCTTGACAATAACTGTAAATAAAACAGAAACGAAAAACAATCAGAAAAAGTTGGCGGGTATTAAGTATAATGAATAAGTAAAAGTTTAAGAGTAAATAATAACCACGTGGGTGAGATTTTGGGAAACATACACACATACATAATACTTACAGTGTGCCACAAAAGTGCTTAGATAAACACTAGTTAGACCGCACCACCTTACAAGCAAGGAAAAAAGTTCGCCGTAAACCGCTGGGTTTAAAATATTTTTTCAAGGAAATTTCGAAAGTACTGGCCAAACCTAGGGTGCGCATTTTTATATATTTTAGGTGGAATTTTTTTTTTTTTTAATAGTTCTACTAGAGTAATTAAAATACTTCTTTAGCAAAAAGTTTAACGATTTTATGGGCTGGTTTCTTCAACTCATCTTAACTTAGTTTAGCAATTTTTTGGACTTAAGCTAAAAGCTTGCGTACTTTTTATTCTGCTTATTCTTGACTAGGTCCAAAAAATTGGCTAAACTAAGTTAAGTTGAGTAGGAGAAACCAGCCCATAAAATCGTTAAACTTTTTGCTAAAGAAGTATTTTAATTACTCTAGTAGAACTATTAAAAAAAAATAATTTCAGAACTTAGATCTGGTAAGGTCAATGAAATAAGGTAAACAAATTTTCCCCCAGCGACAAGAACATCAATATGTATATAATTCTTTAGGATCCGACTATAAAATCCGAATATATGACAAAACATTTAAAAAAAGGCGTCTCCTAAGTTCGGTAACAAAAATTCCGAATTGCCTTCGAATCAAAATACTTCCATAGCAAAAGTTTAATAATTTTTGGCGAGATTTAATTCACTGACATTAGGCGATACGTTGGGATAGTAAGAACTGAGATCCGCTGGGAAGTATTAGAACAATATTTTTTTGGGTATAAAATTAAATTTTTAACGATTTTTAACACAACGCGCTGCGAACAAAACACCCTATCGAATGCTTGCGATGACGGGCCAGGGAAGGGAAATGGCGTTGTCGATTACAGCCAGTTGTTTAAACAACGAGAAGGAGAAGTGACCAGTCAGCAGTACTTCAAATGGAATGCAGTCCTATCTGCTAAATGACAGCAAATATCACACTACACCATCTGCATTTAAAGTCAATATCAGCTTTGTCTGCTTGTTGCTCTGTTTAATTACCAGCTATTCCCGAGGCATCCAGAATAAAACAAGTACATTGTCCAACTATTTTAAATTGTTGAACCTGACAATATGCAAGTTCACACTGTACCATAAAAGCAACCATTTACTTTGAGTCTATAGTTGGATAGAGACAGTAAGTGACGACGGTATTTTTAGCATTGCATCCACAGCAGCCTCAGATGTTGTAGACATATTGACCTCATTCTGCCTAATGACCATCGGCGCGAGCTCTGCGTAAATCAAAAGCACTGGATATACACACTCCACCAAACTTAATAGTACCCATACTTTCCTGCATGACTGTAAGACATATATTGTTTATAAGCGCGACACATTCACATATACATACATACATACATATGCACATATGTGTGTACACAAATTCGTACAAGGGCATAGGCAGGTAGGGGCAGCTCTCAATCACGCGGCTGTACCACATTGTCATATTTCTATATGGAGGAACTAGCGCCGGTTTCGAAACCATTTTATTTCTGCCTTATTTTCTCATTAAATTCGCATATATCTATATTGAGCTGCACGATACTCTTCGTCATACCCGCTGTTTCTGTGTGGGCGAGGAGTTTGGGAGATGGATTATACATATCTAATCAATGAGAAGTTTATTGTTCAATCAAAATGAGAGTCAATTGCGAAAATTCTTCGGCTGTCTTTTGTGGCTGCAAATTTTCAACATCGAATTTCGTCCCGTCTATGATAAAGTTATCAATTGGGGTTTTCTACATTTGAAATGGGGCCACCCAAGTAGTTTTATAGATCTTTCGAGGCTGGTGTCTGGTACTACTAACTACCAAGTTCATATTCGCGGATAAGTCGAGGAACCTCTCTTTTAATCTCATTTAGCTTAGATGTGGATTGTGGCAATTCGTTCACTGTTTGGGGTGCTAACGAATGCTGCAAGTTGCAATCTTCCTCCTTCCATCTCATTTTCTTTACTATGGTAAAGTCAACACGTTATTTATCTAAATAAGCCATCCAGCAGTTGGATAGAGACACCTGTCCTATGGTGTATATCCGCAAAGTGTGGTCTTTGTTTCGTGCGTGGGTATCCCAAGTTACGGCGTTAATTAACCGAGGTTGTTTAAATATTTTCATTTTGTGTTTTATCTAGAGTATTTAATTTTTTTTTTAAATTTATATAGCGAGCTGCTTGCTCCAAGTCAGATGCACTTATTGGTTAACAGAATCTGCTGGCTTCAGCGGACCCTTAAACCGAATAAGACGGAGTGGTTCCCTCTCTATTTATAGTGATCCAAGGCTTCCGCGAGATGATTGAGCAGAAAACAATTGAAGAGTTTGCTGATAATATGTAAAATGTAATCTGTAATTGGTATATTAACCTGTGCCTCCCCCGTTGCTTTAGATCGTCGCTACGCCCTTGAATTCGCACGTAAGTAAGGAGTGCGATTAGATAAACTTTTTCTATATGAGGTGTGCAATCACAAGGCCGTACAAAAGAATTACTTGTTCTTCAACTAAGATCCAAGGTTTTTATCAAAAGTTTGATATCTTCTTTTTGATAAAGATCTTAAAAATCAGTGCCAGTGCGAAGATATTTTGATAAGTAGATATATATGTATGTACATATGTATTTATACTAGTATACGTGTACAATAATTTGGCCGGCGCATGGAGCTTGTTATTGCGAAATATTTGCAACCAGGTATGTATGTATATACACTGCCGGAACAAAGTATTGGCACAGCAAAATTTTCACTGCATATGCAACAATTTTCATTCTAATATTTTTCCGCCAATCTTGTATAAAAATGTGGTTCATTCTACAACAAAAACCATAAAATTATAATTCCTAAACTTTGTGCAAAACTCGCGAAAAATCAGCAAATTTTCAACTTTTTAATCAGATTTTTTAGAATTTTTTAAAGTTTGCATTTTTGTAGTCCATTAAATAAAATGCGAGTTCGGAGTTAGTCAAAAATTTTAAAGGCTTTAACTGCTTTACAAATCGAAAATTTGTATGAAAATATCACTTTATAAAGCTCTTTAAACCTACTTTATTTTTTTATGAATAAGGCGATTAGAGTTTATAGACATCAATCTACTGCGGTCACGAGCAACCATTATAACAAGTGTGTACAATTGGCTTTCGAAACAGTCACACTTGGAAATGAACGATCGTAAAATAATCGCCGTCAATTTTTTATTGTTAAAAAAAAGGCACGTCAAACTGTTTCTTTGCTTTTAAAATTGTTCTTATCCTCAGCCGATCAAAAGTAGGTCGCGAGAAGAGTGCTCATCAAAATTTAGTAATGAAGCAAGAATTTCGAGTCGGAATTTTATCTGAGAATTCTAATAAAGTAATAAAATTATTCTTTTGATTTACCGCAGCTATCGAAATGCGTTCAAATATATGGCTAGACATCTTATATTTACTTATACATATGTACATGCAAGCATACATGTGCTTATGTATGTAGTAGTTATGCAAATAAAATTCTAATTTTTGCTGCTTCATAAGGTAAATCATGAATTTTGCTATTTAAAAAAAAAATAGGCCAACATACTTTGTATGGAAGGAAATGCGTAACACCTTCGACATAGATATGCCTCTTTTATATCGATTAAATCGAAAATCGATTAATCAAGCCCTACCGATTTAATTTTTTGTCGATTTTTTAGTTTCGATTCGATCCGAGAATCGATTCAAAAATTCGAGAATCGACATTCGACTTTTCGTAAATTGTTACATATTGAACTATGGTTTTCCTCAGAAAATCTATAAAATTGTAAAGAAATTTTAATTTGAGATTGGTATCTACCCTTAAATAAAACATCTGGAGAGAGCAAAGACCAAAGAATTTAATGACCTGCCTATCTCTCTCCTCCGACTACAGAGCTCCTCATGGTAGCCTCTTGAAAATAACAATTGAGCGATTCACAACGGTGTCTGTCGTAAGTGTCGTATTGTTGTATTTCGTAAACTTTAAAAGCTTAAATAAATGTTTAGAGAACTTGAAACGTCAACTTACTATTTTTTAGCACTACAAAAATTCATAATATGACTTTGATGGTCCTTTGTGAACTCCCTTAATATATTTCTGAGACGTTTAATGTTTACGACATACAACGATACGACACTTACGACACCGTTGTGAATACCCCATATACCTGAAATTAAAAAATTGAAGTTCCAAACTTTATTTGAATTTTCATAAAAAATGTCAATCCTTAATTATTCTTTATAGATAAAATTTTAGTACTTATGCAGTTTTGTAGCAAATTTTTGTCTAAAAATGGTAAGCAAGAAGTGAAATATAGTCAGCAAAAACAAAAAAAAAATAAAAAATAAAAAACGCCCGCATTGCACAAAAGTATATGTTCGTAAGCTCCATTTTATAATACACTTCTTAAAGCAGTGGTTAATTTTGAAGTAAAATATTAAATTTTCTCTCATTTCTAATAAAAAAAAAAACAAACACAATTAAAAAAAAATTTAAAAATGTTATAAAATAGGACAGCGTTGACTTTTCCCTAGGCATTAAATGAAAAAATTTTGATGAAAGGAATTTTTACAGACGTTCCCGATACCGCGGGCCCATCTCAAGTCAGATCGATGTGTTGTTTTGTTTTTTTTTTTATAAAAATTAAGTAAACGACGTTATATGACCAAATATTTATTTATATGAATCGATCTTGGGAGATAGTTTTAATTTTTTGGTGATTCCTTCCTGCATCGATTACTTATTTTTATTTCGATTCAAAAATCTATTTTTTGTATTTCGATCTACTTCAGCAAAAAAACAATTATCAAAAATCAACGAAATGCATTAAAATTTAATGGGTTTCAAACCAGCATACT